AACATGGAGTTAATCTCCCTTTTATGTTTTTGTAAGGAAAGGAGCTTCATCTTGAAATTATAGTTTAAAGAAAAGAGGCATGGATGGGAGACGTGGAGGTCATTCAGGCAGCAGCAAGTGAAGCAGAGCAACTCCCATTTGTGTTCAGCCAGATGTTCAGGAGCCTTTGCCAATAGCTCAAAAGGCTGATGCTACATAAATTACTATATCCCAGGGACTAATTCAATGGGTGTGATGGAAGAGGAAGGGAGGAGGATGGTACCCTGTTGGTCAGAGGTCAGGTGTAACACATGGGACTGAACCAAGCAATATTCAGCCAATTCTGTTCTTTCTTTTATTATTGTGGATTGAAAACACTCGTTTTCCCATAGAAAGCAGAAGAGAAGTCAATACTTTCATTAATATAAAGACCAATTACTATTTTCTTTAAAAAGTCCCTTTTCCCGTGTAGTCGAAAAAGTTTAATACCCAAGGAAATTTGAGCTTCTGATGGTCATCTTTGAAAACATAGAATCCCCTTTGAAAGCTACCAGTGGTCCCATAAAATAAAGATCTTTAAAGGCTTCTCTTGCTTTCTGAAAAAATGCCGATTGCAAACCAAACTGCCTTGCCTCCACCTCCACGTTTGTACCAAATTCACGTAGAGGCATCCCTTTTCACCTACCATGAATTGTTTCCCTTTCCTCTCCAGGAGAGTTATTTTTACAAAAGTAGAAGCAAACAAAAACCTGGAGTAATAAATAATGGTTTTCTTTTAGAGTGTGAAGCCTTCTCTCGACCAAAGTGTGCTGCCTTTGCAAGAAAATAGGCAGTTGTGGGTTGCTCTCTCATGTGTGTCCATCTGTATCACAGCCTGGTTGTCTTTGACACCCTGCCTGTAGAAAGAAGTGGTAAGCTAAGGGAATCTTTTTGTCTTTCAAGGATATACACCTACCCGTTATGATGTGAAAGATAATTTTAACAAATGTGACTCTTGCTTGTCACAGAAAGGTAAATAAAACTCAAGGCCATACCAGTATCTGGTTTTCTATCAGATAGTTTCACAAGATTTGACTCTGACTTTGGATGTTTGAGGTTGGCAGTGCTGATGCTTATTAATTTTTCAGGATGTCCTACAGTCTACAGATAAAAACCAGGGTTTCAAGGTTAATGAAGTAATAGCTCAGCATCCCAAACAGCATTGCTCCATCAGTGGGAAGCCCATGGAGGGACAAGAGTGCCTTTTTTTTTTTTTTTTTTTTTTAAAATAAAATAAAGAAATAAGCAGTGCCCTCTAGTGTTAGTTAACATCAGAGGGAACCACCAGGGGAAATTTTCTATCATCTTGCTATCTTCAGTTAAACCTATTTCACAGCCACAGATGCAGCTATTTCTTGAAGGAAAGTAGTAAAAAAGAACTGCAATAGCACAGCTTATCAGGACATAACTGCCAGAAATGTCATCAATAAGTAGATACAGTCAGGTATCGCAAACTCCCTGGCCTGTTTTATCTTCTCTAATCTTGAAATGTGTGAGTGTAGTATGTCTCCAACCTGTACCTGACCTGGGCAAGGATGAAAGATGTGTTTTACCAACGGGCCAGAGACTTCTGAACATTCAGGGAGAGATGTAGCAGTGAGTGTTCCTGCTTTGAAGTTCAGAGTTTCAGTTTCTGGCATAAAGCAGTCCTGGTGTACACGTATTCAAGCTTATCTACAACACGTTACAACAAGGCAGTGAGCAGGTAGGTCTTCTGGGCTGTCCTTGGAGCACCTCGAATTTTTTGCTTCTAGTGATAGTAAGCAGGTTGGACTCCTGTTTCAAAACCACAGGCATCATTCGTTTCAGTTAAAGACAATTCTGCCAGGGATGCACTGTGGGAATTACAGTCACCTCTGTGCTTTAGCATGGAAGGCTATTTCTCAGTCTGTTTAAAAGAGGGCAACGCTTTAAATTGCTAATGTAAACCAGCAAGCATTAAAAAGCATTTGCTCTCTGGTTTCTGAATTGTCTTCAGTGTGAAAACATGGTAAGCAAATGTGCCTTTCCCTCTCTGTTTTTTTAATTTGATTTTCTACCATAGAGAAAGAGCTTACGAGTGATTATTGCCTTTCAGTTTCTGCTGATGCATTTCATAGCCTTGGTTGCAGTCTGGGGCTTTTGGGATGAGCCCCGAGGTCCCTGTGGTGTTAAAGCTACTGTTGACAAATGGGAATCCTGTAAGGCCTTGAGAGCATCTTACGGAGTGTCCCTGAGCTGTAATCTGTGTGTGCATTTATCATTTTCTGGAAAACAGCACACAGAAATACAATACAAGTACAAGGTTTTATGAGGTGACCCGTGCAGTACCTTGGCTTATGCAGGGTTTCCTGCCCTGGGCGAGGTTCGCCCTGGACTGCGGTTTTCTAAACCAAAACATCTTCTGATGTGGCATGATGCTGAGGAGTGACAGTCTCACTGTCCTCCTTGGGTTATGCTCTGTGAATGTTTCTGATGGCTGCCAGCACGATAAGAAGTGGGTGCCGAGACTTATGTAGGTGGTCAGTATATTGCCTACGTGTAAGGATATCAGGTGAAGAAGGTTAGGAACTTGTACTTCTGAGCTGATTCAACAAGATCAGCTTGACATGAGGAGGGATCTGTGACCGTGCATTGCCTCTGCGTAGATTGCTGCGCCCTGGTAGCAGATACCCGAAATGAGATGACTTACCTGGGCTGTTGCTCCTCAAAAGGGGTGTCAGACCCGCTCAAGCATTTGCGACACGTGCCGCTGTCTTGTTGCCCCTGCTGTTGCCAAACTTCATGCTTCCAGTAGTTATTGATTCTTCAGCTCTAATGGTAGACCCCTTTTTAAGCTGCAGTTAATAACTTCTGTCCTCTTTGCTACATGTGAGCAGGGAGAGCGTTGTTTTTGCCGATTGCCAAGGATGATGTTACGCTCTGTGAAAAGACCAAGGAGAATAATGTTTGGCATTGTTCCTCTGAGACGTACCAAAAATCTGCACGCACCAATGAAAGCAACCAGCGTTGTAGTATCCTAACAATGGTTCGTTAGGACTTTACCGCGGGCCGGGATGATGATTGTTCCTGTTTAAGACCAAGACCAACAGATGGCATTTGTTAGGACATTGATATTTACGTACAAAGTTGCCAACACTTTAAGAAGCGGTGCCTTTCTTAATTAAGATGATAATGTACTGCCTTGTTTGGAGAGATTCTGCTTGTAATGATGCTGGTGAATTATGAATAGAGGGAAATTAGTAATAACAAATGCCAGATGGAGGTGTCTTTCAAAGAGGAATATTTTGTGTAATATGGCATGTAAAGTTGACAGACCAGGTCATAAAAACCCTTTATTATTCTTTAAGCTTTCCTGACAAAATTACTCTTTATCCTGCCAAGAAATGTAGTTTCACATGCCAGTGCGTTTTTAAGTGAGAGTAATTAAAGTATGCCTCTAAGTTTATGGCTTGAAGTGAAATCGTTCCTCCAATGTTTTGTCAGGAATCTATAAACAGTGCAAGGAAGGAGACAACTTATAACAACAATAGATTTGCCAGTTCTACATATTCTGCCTTTGAAATCAGAGGCAATTAGGGATGAACAAAACTACTTTCAAAGTTTACCAAAAAAAAGTGTAAGTTTTGCTGAAGTTTTACTTCACGTTTTTTCTTTGGTTGACGATGACTTGGGAATAAGAGACGTTTTTCTAAAATTAAAACCTGCCTTCTTTGATTGAAGAAAAAAATGATTACTGAGTTATAAGTGCATCGAATCCTCCAATGCTAGGCCTTTTTTGTTACTTCCTGAGAGAAGGAAATAAAATTGATTTTGTAGTGTAAAGTAGTAATTAGAAGAGAAGTAGACAAGGGCAAGTAAGAAATAAAACTTTGGGGGTTGATATTTAATGTTCTCATAAGAACATTCCCACTCCACGGGCATTCCAGCTTTGATCTCATGACATGCTGGCTGCTGTCCATCGCAGAGAAGGTCCTTCCGTGATGGTCTGTGGGTGAGGCAAAGTGTGTCATGGGAGGTGACCGTGAAGATTTGATTTTCCTTTGTAATTGTCCTCAGATTGCATTAGTGTAATAAAATTCAATTTAGGACTGTAGAAGCGTTGCATATAGTCTTTCTATCAGATATGCCAAACGTTGTAGACCAGGAGGATTTGAAGAACATACTTTCTGCTCCATCCTTCCATAGTCACAAATCACTCCCAATATGCAATAATAAACTTGAGATGTACACTCCAAGACTTCTTCCAAAGGCACAAATGTTTTGGCAGGGTTCAGAAAGGTAGCAGAGGAGTTGCTTTTGTCTTCTTTAAATTATTTCTACAAGTATGCATTAGTATGGGAATAAATGAAGTAATATATTTCAGTATTGGATGATGAAAAGAAGGCTTCTGCTTCATTTAGAAAAAGATCGAGATCAGTTTTCATGAGAATAAAACACTGTTTTGAATTATGCTTAGAACAGACTGTCCGACTATTTCTGGTATTAATGTTCATTGCTATTGCAAAAAGGATTTAACAATAGAAAGATGAGAACATGAGAAAAGAATGTCTAGAGGGAAGGCAGTCAAGGATGGGATTCAGTGGCTCTAGCTTTGATAACAATAGCAAAGAGTGCTCTCAGTTGAGTCTTTTGAGACTAATCTGGTACTGTCAATAAACCCTAAATTTACCTTCATGCAGAAAGAGCAGTATTTCTAGGCATTTTCAAAAACTCCATAGAGCATTGCTTCTCACTGATCTTGTTAAAGCTACTGTGAATTTACCTGGGAGATGCCATCTGCAGTTATGGACAACTAAACCCTGGTTTTACTTTACATTTTTAATGAATGAGTCCTGTAGATATAAAAGACAAAGCTGCTTTCTTTAACAGCAGTGTACCTAGTGAGAAACAAGCACTATGACTCTTCCACTCCAACTCTTTTGAAAACCCTACTACTTTTTTGCCCTGTTGTTGGTTTTGTTTATGCTGAACTTCTTTCTGTTGCTTTTTTTTTTCCCCAGAAAAACTTTACAATTCCAATGGACGGGAGCTGAGACGGGCACTTTTCTCCTTGAAACAAATATTTCAGGTGAGCAAATAACGGCTGTCCATTCTGTGATTTCTTTTTTTAACGTAGGGAATAATTTACAGGTTCTGGCAAAAGTGAATTTTAAGACTTCATTTGTAATGTGCAATTAGCCAATTGCTTCTTAGGGTCTTCTCTCTTTATGGTCTACAAGCTTTTTCCTGTCCCTTCAGTGTGTCTGAAGGCAGGACCAGATGTGGAGTTATGGCAGAGTTAGTGGTTGGAACCTGCCAGGAAAGGAGAGAAGAAAATTGGGACTCTTACGTGGAAACAGGCTGCTCATTAGACAGTGGCATAGTTCTGTATCAGGAAGACTGGGAGGGGGATGTGAAAACAGGAGCTAGGAAACCATGGGTTGGGGTGATGGCCCAACATTGGCCTAGTAATTGACAAATAGACTAGGTTTAAGCCACATCAAAAACTGAAAAAGGGTGAGAGAGACATGGGAGAGATCTGATGAGGAGCCAAGATGTAGTGGGATTGTTCTGAAGGTGTTAGAATTTAGGTTGAGGTTAGAGGAAATGATTTATTGATTAGCCGAAAAGATAGTTCATAGAGCTGAGGAGGGTATGGTAGTGACTGATGAATTTAAGTTTAAGGAAGGGCATGGATTTGAATGTGAGTGTTCGTTATGGAGGAGACCTGAAATCAGCAGGATTTTGGGTCCTGTGGGGAAGTAGCCAATGTGATAGGCAAGAGGTGTGGATGATAAGAAAGTGAATTGAATGAAAAGCTTGGTTTTACTGGATAAGGGGAAGGACTTGGGAATGTTGCAGGACTGGAAGGAAACTTGTTGTAGAGAACAGGTCAGGAAAAGTGGAAAAGAAGACATTGGTGAGAACTAGAGCATACTGCCAATGTGATCCTAAAATGCAATTCAGGATGACACATTCCATTTCTAAATGGAATATAAGTGAAATCAATAAGAGCATCTCTCCTCCTTTACTAATGGATCCAAATGGAGGATGACAACATATAATGTTTTTCAGCCGCAACAGGTAGGTGCAAGGGTTTCAAGCTGTTAGTTTAGTGTTTTTTGCTTTGTTTTAAATAGACATTTATTCTAAGAGTAACAACGTTTAACAATTCTGCAAGACTGCAGAATTGCAGATTTCCAAAACACACAATGCTTTCTACAGGTGTCAAAGTTAAGCATTCAGAATTTAGAAAATGCCAGAAAGAAGATTTTTCTGAACAATAGGAGTAGATGGTGAATGGTAGACCATTTAATAGAAAAGTTTGGCAGTTGGTCTTCTGGGTCAGAAGAAAGTCCTTGAAGTTTGACATTTTTGGACAAAGAAGGAGTTCCAGCTCTGAAACAGTCTGGTCATCTCATGGCCACAGATTGGGAAAACCATTGTCTCTTCAAGGCATTCCCAGGGAAAGACTGTTTGAGAGTCACCATGATGCAAGTTGGGTTTCCCTGTGAGCTTGCCAAGTGGATGGACTGTGTGCTCAGAGGAAATTAGGCAGGTTTCCAAGAGTCTTTTCTGGTTTCTTCTCTTTTTTTTTCAGCTCAACTGTTTCTGGGAAGTATTTGTATTTCTTTGGATTTACATATTCCACAGGTTAATCTTGGTATTCACACATATTTAGCAGTGAGTGCTAAGCCTCTCTTCCCACCCATCCCACAACTCCCATACCTCCCATCATGACTTTTCCCAGTTTGGGTATTCATAAATGTTCTCTTCCATGTAGGTTATTTGAAGTCTAGTAGGTAGTTCTGAGCACGCAGTACCCGGTGCTTCCAGTGAACACACCAGTAAGATATCTGTCTTCCAGCTGATCAGCTGTTTTCACAGAAATGTTGTTTAAATATTTATCCTAATAAATTTTATTGAAGTTGACTGGGTTGAAGAATAATGATAGGGGAGGGAAAAGTAATCCACACAAACCCATATCTGTATATGAATTTAGTTTTTAAGTGAAGCCTGTCTGACAGTTTCAGAACATAATTTTCCCTGAAGAATTCGACATCCCTGCTTCCTAATGTATGTGATACAGAAGGGAGTTTGGGAATTATCTGTTACAGCTTCAAGTAGCTACTTCTGGTAGAACTGTGGCTGTTTGTCGAACAAACGTACCCTTCAAAAAATCTTCATATACTCTCAAAATACAGGTTCTCATTAGTGGATAATCGGGGCTGGAGAGTATTCATATAATATGCTCAAGTATTTGAGGTAGTACACTTCAGACTGGAAAATGAGACCCTGTATGATGTAAATTCCTGTTTACCTGTCAACGTCGCTGTCCTTAACAACGGTTACTGGCATTGCTAAGGGCATCTTTTGAGTCTGATTTTAGTTTATCTCATAATGAACCATGAGAGAGAATGTAAGATGATTTTTCTATCTGTTTTAGAAAGAAAAGCTTTTTCAATTTTTTAGTGAAGAAAAATACAAGTTAATATTATAAGGTTATGTTATAGACCAAACACTATTGTCCAAAAGGTCATACCAAATATATTTTTTAGTCTATGACATTGAAGTATGTCAGGATTAGAAACGTGTCATCTTAAAAGCTTTTTAAAAAGTATATTTTTCAATATAAGTATCTGTTTGATTTTGTATCTCATTATATTTAGTATTTTAAATTCCTTAAGAATATAATATTTCGGAAATAAAATGTTCACTTCAAAACCGGTCTTTATTTTCATTTTAACAAATTTTCAGAGTGTTATGGAGACTTCATCATGTCTTTAAGTGCCAAGACCGTTCATAACAGCATGTTTTTGTAATCATTTCATCATAGCTGAGTTAATTTGGCATGGGTTCTGTGTCAGTATCATTTTTAATTTAAAGAGCTTCAAGGTAGTGTGCAGTCTTTTATTTGCATTAAGTGGGAACAAGCCCAAGTTTTACATCAAATATGAATTCCAAGTAGTCGGAGCTCTTGCTTTTTCACGCGAGGCCTCAGCAATATTAGCAATGTTTGGCAAAAGCAATGCTTTTTTTCCGGATTTTAAGTGAAAGATTCATTTGGCAAGTCCAAACTTGGAATTTCTCTTTGGTTTCTTCTGGTGGCTGGTTTTGGCAAAATGATAAAGGTTATGTGGAGCATTTTTCTTTGATAGTAAAGCCATTTTGTTCCTGTCATTCATTCTGACGGGTTGAGATAGCCACACTCATCATCTTTTGCTGGACTGTACTGCAGTATTCTTCTGATTCACCGTTATGCTTTTTGGCGAACAAACTTAGAGAGTAAGGAAAGTAATCTTCAGACTAGAAGTATCTGAAGCACTTGACCTTAAAAGAGCTGAAAAAAAAAGATATATAGATATAATTGACAACCTGTTGGAGTACAGTTTAGCTCCCTTTAAAGGTATTTTCTGACAGACTTCTGGGTTGCCTGGTTCTTGTGTTTATGAGAGATTCGTGAATTTTGTGCAAAGTGCTAACACCTCCCAAAGGCATCCGGGGCAGAGTCCAGCTGAACATGGCACTTATAAAATTGGGGTTGAAAAACATTCTTGCATTTCCTGATTGTGCTATCGTAAGAGAGATAAAAATACAGCTGCTTAAAACATTTAATTCAATATCCATCTTAAAAGCAGAAAAATTGGGTATGAGCAATATAATATATATGTAAATAGTGCTGCGCAATTTACGTGGTATTAAAGAAGCTTTTTGAACAAGACCTCTGATGTGACTAGATGTAATATAAAGCAGGCATGCTTTAGAACCTATAAACAAAAGTGTGCCTTGTCGTTACAAAGCATTACAAAGCAGAGTTTCAAATCATGCTGACTGCATCATTTCAAAATCTGAAGTAACTGCATAAGAATATGGTGCCGTAAGAAAAAGAAGAAAGCTATAAAGCATGTTTTAAGTCTGTTGAAATCTATAATCACATGTAAATCTGCTTCTTAAAGTTTTGGAAAATATTTTTAATCAATCAATGCATTAGGTTTTCTGGAAAGCAGACCTAAAGGGTATATTTTAAAGTGTTAAGGAAAAAAGCCAGTTTTCTTTTAGGACTGCTTTCCTCACTAAGCGTCATTTGACAAGGGCAGGAGATCTCCCACTATTTTTCTTGAGGAGCCTATGTTCCCGTTTTGTGTTGTGATCAGAATATCAAGCCACAAAGTTACAAAATTCTCGTACAGAATTTTCTTCTATTGTTGAGAAATTCATTAATCATTGAACAATTGAGCTTTGTGTAAAACGTCACAAAGAACAGCTATGTAGGGGCCGTGGAAACATTAACTAGAAGGTGTTTGGATAGACACAATCTTATCAGTGAGTGAAATCGAATGTCACACACTTCAGCTGCTAAGGAGTCATCAATCATCCTTAGGGGAGCAGGAGGAGTCTTCTGTGTTTGCCTCATTGATCTCAGGGAAGGAGGCTGCTCCTTCCCCTCTTGCAAGCATGACTGATGACTCCTTAGGGTCTGAAGCTGTGTGACACTTGATTTAGGGGCTGCTGTCATCACTTGTGAGGCAGCCTGCCACCTCTCCCCTTTAAGAGCCCTCTTGGAAGGGTTCTTGATTAAGTCACGAAAAAGAGAGAAACCTTCATTTTCTTCCCAAATCGAATTCACTGTAGTTCCGCGTAGCAGTTTACATATCTGTTTCATTCTGTTTTACAAAGGATATGTCTCATTACTGTTTAGAGATTATAAATAAATAGACATGACACATTAAATGTCAAAATCAGTTTCTCAATTTCACTGGCAAATAGAGAGGCTTCTCCATGCCTAGACAATGTTACGGGCTGAGGTCTAAACAGTTCTTAATGAGACTATAAAATGTGAACTACTTGCACCACAAGGATAGCCTAAAAACTTGGGAAGCCGCCATTATTCGTTCTCTAATTTGTACGTATCTTTGAATTGAACCAGGAGAGCTTGTTTTGTATGGAGCCTATCTACTTTAGCTTCCTCAGGTATGTAATGCAGTGCATGAACATTGTTCGATCTTTTGCTGAGCTGCCACGGAGAATATCCCTGATAGAGTCTGGTCTAGGTGACTTTTCTAGTAATTTATAATTCTGCTATTAACC